AGCCAACAATATAGGAGTCTTTTCTGAAAGATAGTATTAACAATTTCAGTTGTTATCATCTTGAACAATAACTTGGAACATTTTTCTTTTACAATGAATCTATTTCATTGACCTGAATTTATGACCCGTTTATTATTTCAATGTTGCAATGCTAGTAAAGTAGTGGGAAAAACTATATATTTAAACCTGAATATATGTAAATGTGTAGATCTTAATCTTTGGTCTTAATATTCTTAAATTTCATTTATTGAAGTGTTCTCATAAATATTAACTCATGAAAACATAAAATATACTTAACAGCAAAGCTAACTTTAATCTACTTATATTTGATGTTCCCTTTATTTTATTGGTACAATCCTTGAGTTAATAATCGGACCTTATGAAATAGTATGAGGTCATTCAAATAAATGTAAAATGAGTCAAAACTATTTGTTGAATATTTATTTTTATTTACTGACTTTGCTAGTATAATAATAAATATATCCAGCCTATTAAAACAAAGGTATAGCTACAATCTTTTTTGATAATCACCATCAATCCTGATTCTTAGAAGTATTGGCAACACTTAATTTGATGTAGTCTTTCCAAACCATTTTATTTTTATTTATATAAGTTACATTTCTGACCACAGACTCTCCATAGCACTGTTTTTTAAAGATGTGTTTTAAAAATGTAAATTTTACTATAATGTGTGTGTTACTCTGCAACTTCTACTTAGCCTCCTTGGGAAACTTCCAAACAAACTCTTAAGAATTTGTTAGTTGATTGTTTTGGATGTTTTGGATAGATGCTCACATTATTTCTAAATGATAGTAATTTTGTCTCTTCCTTCTTTATCTCTGTATTTCATTTTTCTTGTCTCGAATAGATAAGGATAGTGGTAAATAAGCAAATGTCCTATTATTCCTTACTTAACAATACTGCTTCTATTCTCTCATCTGTAAGATTAGTACTTACGTATCTCCATTAGCAATACTTCATTAAGTTAGATATTTCTTTCATTTCTAGTTTTCTAAGATTAAAAAAATCTGGTGTTAAATTTTCCTCAACATCCTTACATGATTTAGCTTTTTTTTTTTTTTTGCTTTGTAGGGAAGGCTGTGTTTGAACTCATGGGGATCCTTCTAGGGTGGGATTATAGGTGTGCACCATCACACCCAGCTCCTCTCTCTCTCTCTCTCTCTCTCCTTTATTTTTGACAAGATCTCGATATGAAGTCCAGGCTGACCTCAAACTTGGGGTCCTCCTGCCTCAGCCTCTTGAATGCTAGGATTACAGGTTTACTACATAGGGAGACTTGGTTTCTGAATATTTTCACAATAGGGATTAGGTCTCAACATATGATTTTTGGGGGGACAGAAGCAGTTGGATCACAGCAAGTGCTATTTGAAGTATACTCGTTTGACTATAAGTTTTGAAAAAACTTCTTTCATCTACTTTTGGTAATTTACATGCATTTTTGGGAAAATCGACAATTTCAGCTATATGCTCATCTAAGTATGGTAAATTTGTCACTTTAAAGTGGAAGATTTTTTTATTTCTTTCTCAGATCCCAGAGTAGTAATAGCGATTTGCTCTTTTTCATCAAATTAATTTTAGCTTTTACTAATACCATAATCCCTATGATAGTTATACCCATATGCTGCCCTAGTTTTTGTGAAACCCTGAAGTTAGGTATTCTGTGATTGAATAGAGAAATTGTTAGCTAAGTGGCAGTGTGTTCGTGTAATGCTTACTCCTACCCTAGAATTTAAGAGCCAGAGAATTCCAAACTGTTTTAATTTCCATAAGCTCTGTGTTCCATCACCAACAAAGCAGACATAATGCCTGAAATCTCATAGGAGGCGTTATGTTAAAGCACTTAGTGGCTGTACCGGTCACCATCTATCTAAAGTTGTGTGTGTTAAATTATAAATAAGATTTTATTAATATTATACCCTTTCTTTAGAGAAAAGATACTTAACATAAGCTGTATATTTGCACAAGATATTTTCCTTTACATAGAAGTAGCTAGAATCTAATCTGGGGCTTTGGATTATTACACAATCATCCTAATTAATTGGTAGAGTAAAACATAAGTTGACTACTTTGTTCATTTGAGTTATCAAACGAGTGGATCTGTCAGCTTAATTAAAAGCAAAATAACAGACCAAAAATGTTATTTCACCTAGTTAACTGTAGTCTAAGGATTTTGTTCAGACATAAATCTATAGATTATTCTTCTGCTGCAGGAGGTAAAGTTAACGTGGCAGGGAGAGAAATTTTCTACCCCACATCTGGAGGGTGGAAGAACAGTGACAGCGACAGGAGGAGACTGGGACAAGAGCTGAAGTCAGGAGCCTAAAGTATGTTCTGCTAAGTTCGGGATGTGCAGTCAGTGGCTGAAATCCACCCTGGACCCACAGGTCACATGTGGTGTGCATTCTGCCTCCGCGTAACAGCCTCTTCAGCGGCACTTGCTCAGTTCTGGTCTCTTCCTTTCACCTCCTTAACAAGATAAATGTCATTTATTCTGAGAAATAAGAGAAATTGAGCCTAGGTAATTAAATATGTTTTTTCTTTCTCATAATGTTGACTTAAGACTTCATTTTCCCAAGGTTCTATCTCAACTGTCCTCTACCTCATCAGTCAGTATTAAATACACATATCCTTCTCTACCAGGGAAAGTGCCTCCCGTTCCTCCCATTTGTCTTGGCTACTCTAAAATTTCAGGTCAAAAATACTAGTTAAGTGGCTTGTGCCCTTTTCATGCTTCCTTTATTATTCTCCTAGAAAGTCAAACTGTAGGACACACCAATGCATCCACATTTTTGTTAATGGGGGTCCCTAATACTTTTGTGATGAGAAGATCTTATATATCTCACCTAAGTCATCACCCCTCAAAAAGAAGATGGGTGATACATAATGAGAAGAAATAGTGTATTGGAGAGGGGAGAGGAGGGATGATTGTCACGAAAACCATGTCTGCATTCCTTTTGGAGTAAGAAACACATTTTTCAGTCTCATTGTACCACATCCTTGAGAGATGACCCTATAAAAAGGGACATAAACACTGGCTGATTTGTGATTGCTCTGGTGGCATTTGGGTTTGACTGTATTTATATTGTTATACTTTCTGAACAACAATAGCATCGTTTTATTTGTAAGTAGAGTTTTCTAAGTGACAAAATTTGAATCTTATGCAACAAACTTCCTATTTGTAGGTGGAAATGGCATTAAGAAATAATGGAAGGAACAAGGACTGTATAGTCAGAACATCTAGGTTGGAATTCTAGCTCTGCCATATTGTAGCTGGGAAAATTTGATAAAGCCACTCACATTATCTAAATTTCAGTGTATATTTGAATACAGATAATGATATCTGTCTCATCAGGCTTTGGTGATGAAAAATTGCAATGTGTTTTATAAAGCAGTTTGCTTGACACATAAAGACCTTCAATGACTATCAATTCCTCTTTTTCTTAATGGATAAATTAAAGGTGTAGGGGTGGTGGGAGGGGAAGGGGAAAGGAAAAAAGGGAAAGGAAAAATTATGAAAAAAGAAAAAAATGGAAACAAATAGGGAAGGGTGGAGGAGGTGAAGGGTGCACAGGTAATGGGGAAAAAATAAGAACCAAGATGCATGATGTACAGGTACAAGCACCCAATGATAAATGTAAATGTACTGTATACCTAAAATGTACCAGTAAAAGAATTTAAGCAAAAAAAAAAAAAAAAAAGTCTGC